GATTTCCGAGTTTCGCCGCTGGAATGAACGTCTTGCTGATATTCCCGCTTTCTGCTGATGTTTCTAGTGTTGCTGGTCTGCGTGCCTGTCAGGGCTTGACGACTTGAGTGTGTCTGTGACCCGCAAGGATACTAGCATGCTTGGGAGGCCCCGTAGGGCCGGTACTTACCTGTGGCCGTGACAGAGGGTTGCAGAGGGGAAAACACTCTAGTACCAGGAGTAGGCCAACAACACTTGGAGCAGCGGGAAAAACACTCAAGTAGCAGGTTGGCCGGTACCACACCAAGTAGTTGTACAAGTGTGGGGGACTGGAGGCCGAGCAGAAGAAGACAAAAGTTGGCATTTTAGAGGCCCAGTACTTGTAGGCTAGGTCTAGGCGGGTACCAGTGCAAGTAGTCTGAGTCTAGGACCTGTATGGGCGATTCTCAGAGTCTGCAATGATGTTTTCCTCCGAAAGGGAGGAGGTACTGGTTGCTTGGAGGACGCATGGCCTGGAAGTCACCGCCCAAGAGGCAAGTAGGCCGCTATATCTCTAGGAGCGAAGTGCTCCTCCTCATTTGCTGCGTGCAAGCTTGGACATCACACTGCTGGAGTGCTGGAGGAGCAGCGCTAGTGTGCAGTGCTGTTTGGGGAAGAAGGGCACCCAGCTCCCCACCTTGGCTATGGTGGACGAGCACAGGCAGGAGGAGGAGGAAGAAGGGCGCTAGGGGAGAGGAGCACCAGGGGTACTTACCTTGCTATGGTGGACGCCATCGTCATCACCTTGGTGGACGCTGCATCTGGAAGACACCCGTTCGGGTAGAGCGGCATCAAGAAGCTTCGAGGCAGAGTCAGGGATGGCTGCCTGAGCAGGAGCAGCCATAACTGCTTTGTGTTGTCTTTCGCACGTCAGAGCAAGGCCCTAGTAGTCCACCATAGCCTCGGCCTTCAGGAAGAAGAAGGAGAAGGGCGGCCATGACTATGATGGATCTCATGTTGTGCCTGCAGTAGAAGAGGGCTCCAGACATTGATTCTGGTTCAGCCATTCATCATCATTATTATTATTATTTATTGTTTGAATAAAGAGGGGAGGAGAAAAGGAGGAGACTGGTTGGGGAGAGGAAGGGAATCATCATTGGTCTTTGCTGGTGTACATCTTCTTCTTCTTTGTTCTTCTTCTTCTTCTTTCCCTCTCTCCCCTCTCAAGTTCATTCATTTCTTTTTGCAATTGGTCGGCATTGTGCTTTCTCGTGATTTTGCACTTCGAAATTGGCCAGGATCGTAACAGAGAAGTAAATACGAGGATGACCGAAGGGCAAGAACGGCGGTGAAGAAGAAGAAGAAGAAGCAGTAGGGGAGGTGAAAAGTGGAAGAGAAGGAAGAGCACTGGGAGGCAGAAGGTCAAGGGGGAGAGAAAGGAGGAGGATGGTTGAAGAGGCACTCCTGGTTGTTAAAGATAAGCTGCAAGCTGCGGGGGTGGCGATGAGGGTGGCATGAAGTTCGCATGGACCTCAGGAGCCGCGCGCCTGAAAGCCATTGGGGTTTGTTTCAAAATCTGTCAACCTCACCCTTTCCACCCCCCCCCAAGGCCGCGAAGGGAGCTCCTGCAGCTCCCAACTGCCTCTCCAGGCCCTGAGCCTATATTACATAGGGCCCAGATACTTTTCATCTGGGGTCATTCCAGCCAGAATCATTCGGCTGGATGGGTCCATACCAGCCGCATATCCGTCTGGGTCACCAAGTCTTTCTGTATACCAAGTGACCGAATAATTATATTCTAGCCTTCTCTTCAAGTCTTCTCTTTCCACGGCCAGGTATTTCTCATTTGCGCCTATCAAAGACATCCACACTTTCCTAATTCTCTGCTTTTGACCTTCTTTGTCCTTATGTTCCTGGCCCATTACAGCAGAGACCTGGCCGCATACTGTTTGTGCAGCACGGTCCGGATGGGTGGTCCAGATGAAGCCCTGCCAAACAAAACTTGAAAAGAGGGGGGGGGGAGGTGGACGGGGCAAAACTGAGACACTCAGTCTTGTCCCTGGTAGCTGAAAATGACCGAGACATAACAGAACCCCAAATGGCCGAATACCTCGAAGCCTACATGTCCCAGAACATCTCTGGGGGAAACAAAAAAAAAAAAAAGGGAACAAGAGTTCACAAAAATTAAAAAGACAGAAATCAGAAATGGCCATTTCGCACAGCTTTCTGCCCTCCTCTGTATAGCCTCCACAATCCCCCCAGATACATCCACCACGGAACAAGAAAAAGAGGAAGAGAGTGCGAGGACCGTCTCTCACGCCCCTCTGCCCTCCCATAGGAGGCCTGACACTCAGATACACAGAACCTGGACTGCGACCCATAGGAGGCCTGATGCTAGGCTACTTCTGCTACCGCCCTCACACATAATAATGCCGTACGTGTTCTGGAACCATGTTTGTTTTTCTCTTTTCTTCTTGGTATTCATACGCATCCTGACGCCCATGATTATCAAGATAGTCCAGGCCTCGATGTCCAGTACGTCAGAATGTTGTCTGCTTATCTGGAAACTCCGGATGCATCCAGGCCGAGGTTCGGTCAGATGCATCCAGGCCGAGGTTCGATCCAGGTCCGGGGTAACCATGGTTGTTGTCCTTCCTGCCTACAAGTTTGAACAGGGAAGCGATATACAAGATCCCAGCTGCAACCTGGCACTTCAAACAAAATCCCTAAAATGATAAAATCCCTGGCACGCCCCTTTCGAAATAAAGTCCTAAAATCACTTGGCACACCCCTTGCGAAACAAACTGCCTAACATCACTGGCACACCCGTTTCGAAACAAACTCCCTTTTTCTTTTAACAACATGCTAAAAAACAAAAAAAGAAAAAAAAAAAAATCACTTGGCACAGCCCTTTCAAAACAAACTCCCTCACATCACTGGCACACCACTTTCAAAACAAACCCCCTAAAATCCCTAGCACACCCCTTTCACATGTCACATGCCCTTGCCAACTGATCAGAAAGGAGCACTGGCTGTAAAATTGTCCTCACAGTCGAGGTCTGAACCCCCTAACCGCACGGCTGGGCAATGTTGAAACAACTGAATGCAGAATCGCAGAGAGGAAAAATTCTATCAAGAAAAAACCTAAATCAGGCAAAATGCTTAGGGATGTGTGCAGCAATCTAATGCACTCCCCTCCACATTTCGATTCCCAAGGGTTGGGCCACCATACACAAGCTCCCACCACAGAACCCAGTCTACACTGGGGTTGCAGGAGCCCGGAGCCCGCGCATGGTTAGGGGACCATGAGCAGGGACAGGCCCCCTTTTTCGAAGATGGAGGACCGCAGTCGGGGAGCGGGCCATCTGGCCTCGGGGTGGGGAGACCTGAATGCAGTTACGAGTACCTGCAGCTCCAGATTTTCAAGGGCTGTCAGGCGCAAGCTGGGCGCCACAGGACACGAGGTGCTTCGCAAGGCGCTGCACCCTATCTCGGTTGACCCGATTCCACGGTGTGTGGGCCGTCAAGAAGGAAAGAAACCCTCCCCATGGGCCCCGCCAGCATCTCAGGAGGTGCTTACATCACCGTCCACTTCCACAATCCTCAACCTGCCCCCTTTTAATGTGAGGTGCACAGTCACCGTCCACTTCCAAAACCCTTAACCTGACCCCTTTAAGAGTGCACAATGTGCCCTTGATACAACGTTTCGACTTACGGCCGACAGACTTATGTCCAAGCACTGTTCACATGGCAGGATTAGGCAGGCTAGTTTAGGATGAGAATGCTGGCTGAACCTTCTCGGGTAAATCACAACGAGTAGGAGACACTACCTTCTTCCCCCCAACACAGCGTACGGTAATTGTAGCTGTATTTCGGGTATCTTTCAGTCTAAATACAGCTATAATGACCGTATGTTGTACTCGGCGGAAGAACGTAGTTATGCAGTGCCAATGACTACAAACTTGGGATTTTGTGCCTCTACCTTTTCCTTGAGCGTAAAGAGTTTTCGGATCATTGTTGTTGCCGTTTTATTTCATCTCTTATCCTCTCTGTAAAACCAGCATTCTGCAGATTTGTGTATCTGCAACCTGTACTGTACAATCCCCCGCCATTGACCTGATGTCCAGGGCAGGGTGTTTTTCATGCAATGGTAGAACTATGCTGTTCTTGCATTCCGTTCGTTGAAGTTAATGCCAGAAACAAGTTCAAACAACTGCATTTTTGTGACGGAAGACTTGGCGAACTGAGGGAAGCTAGAGAGGGTGCTGCTTTCATTGCCAATCTCTTTTTTTTCTAGCAAATCCTTGTTTTTCCAAAGCATCCTGTATTTCAGCAGATTGACTGGCCATTTGTGTGGTGCTTTATCGGTGGGTTCTTAGAAAGGCCACGAAGATCACCGTGTGTTTGCTCTTTGGACACCCAGAACCTAGCTGAAGTACCTTGTTAACCAATTACTGTTGGGGTAATTCCAGAAATAGCGCGTTTTCAAAGTTTCGCAGCAGAACTGTTGTACGGGTCTGAAAGATCTTTTTTTTTGGGGGGGCAGGAAAGTGGGACCCCGCCTGCAAATATTTTTGCTGTGAAACTACCGGGCCCTCTAAAGCTGCAAAGAAAGATATATTTTTGCAACGAAACTTGGCCCTCGCCAATATTTTTGCTCTGAAACTACCGCGATGCACTATTTTTGAAACCTACCCGTTATTGTTCACATCCCCTGTCCTCCTCAATAGTGAAAGGGATCTCAGGAGTCCTCAGAAGCCAACCATGGAAGCCCGGCGACCAATGTGTGCACATTGAGGACGGCCCGCTGAATTCAGTAGTTAGGTGGAAGCACACTCACAGGAGGCAATCTAGTGCACAGTAGAACTGAGATTACTGGGACCCCTTGCCAAAAGCAATCGTGCATTGGAGAAGGGGTTGGGTAGGTTTGGGCAAATGGTATGGGAAGGGGGGCAGTGACAATAGCGAAGCGGAGCTAATTGGGAGGAAAACAAAGGTTGCAAAGTGAAGAAGAAAAGAGAAAAATAATAAAATATCCTTACCGCAAATGGCTCCACGCGCCTGACAAGATCCTCGCACAGGTGCAGCTTAACATCCCTCCTCAAGTCATGTGAGAGATCTATCAGCAGCTGCTCCTCCTGTACTCCCTGATTAGCGATCCACCTGTTCAACGATACCAAACGCCCAGGCCCCATTTTCCATTTCAGAAAAAGAAAACTTCTGGATCTCCACATGAATGTGGAATTTATGACAACAAAGAGAAAAATAGGCACAACTACAGCAAAAGAATAACTTCCCACAGCAAAACCAAAAAAAAAAAGGAGTACACAAGTTTATGAGTCAAACACAAGGAAGAAAACAATAGCCACAACTACCGCAAAGGAATAACATTCTGCAGCAAAGAAAGAAAAAAAAAAAAAAGAGTACACAAGTTTAAGAGTTGAACACAACACTTCATATCTACAGCGTATTTTACTCGTCGTTCCACAATATAATAATGTATTGCACGGTTTTTTCAGAGCAATTTTTTCAGTTTTTTTGAAAGGGCGACGGCCTTGAGATATTGTCATTGAGCTGACCGGGCCCATGTAATTCAGAAATATATTGTCTTCGTCAACTGGTTCCATCATGTGGATTTGAACTTGGGTCTGGATTTCAACAATTCTTGGGTGGACCAGCTTAAGCTAGGCTCATTTTATTCAGAGCAATTTTCTGTCCAGATACAGCAATAACGAAAATTGCTGTGAATAGAGCTATCATGCATTGCCCTTATGTTCTATTCGGGGGAACATGGTAGCCAAAATATCAATCACCCTCCTGCTACATGCTGCTACATGCTTTCTCCAGCTCTTCCTCCTCCTCCTCCTCGCCCTCTCTCACTGATGAAAGCATGCAGCCCCCGTGCCTCCTCCTCCATCTCCTTCCCTACCGCCTCCTGCAACAATACCTGGTCCTCGATCGCTCCGTTTCTTTCTTTTTGTTCCTTTCTTTCCCTCCTAATGAACGAAACTCACATCTCAGTCATTGTCCTAAGTTCCGGTCACAGAGTCCCAATGTTCCCAATTCCACAAAAAGCAACTGATTTGGCAGGCCAAAGTGCTGATTTGCAGCCAGTCAGGTCGTATCCAGTCTCAAGTCGTAGGAAGTCTGCTAGGCCCCAGTCTAAATTTAGCAGCAGCATCCTGGAAAAGGGTGGTAGGTTCCGGGACGTGGAGAAGTGCAGCCGACAGGCCTTGGGAGACCGTTACCAGTGTGGAGCCGACAAAGACCTAAATCCAGCCACTATTTGAGCTGCTACAGTACTTCCAGTTACTCACTCGTCAATTCGCATGTTGCAGCAGCGCTGCTGTACGTTTCTTCGACCGTCACGTGGATTGGTCGGGCGATCCATGGAGAACCGGCACTGAAGCTCCATAGCTTAGGCTAGCAAAGAAGAAGACGACCACCATAGCTGCTGGGGTTAGAGAAGCAAGTGCATTCACAGAGTGAGAGTAAGCGATCCAAGGGGGAAAGAGAGAAAGAGGGAGATTCAAGGAGACACAGAGAGAGAGAGAGAGAGTACTTACCTGTGAGAGAGAAGAAGCTTGACAGCCATTGCCGCCCGCAGAGACTTGAACCCTTTCTGTGTTTTGAGGACAATAATTTCGGATTTCAGGTGATTTCAATCTTGTTGCAATGTTTGTGTGTTGCGAACTTCCGGTGACATCAAGCTTGAGTCGGATCAACTAGATTGCAAGCGGCTGTCCGAGCAACATGATTGCGATTGAGATTGAAATTGGGTCGGATCATTGCAATGGTACTGGTACTGCAGCGTGCTCTCGTTGCCCTGCTGTTGGGGGGAAGAACGTTGAGGCCGATATTCAGGCCAGCGGGTTGTCGAGGTGGAATTGACCACAGTTGGGGGAGACAGAGAGGCCGGAGGAACGAGTGTCGGAAGTGGGAGATGGATGGAGAAAAGTCATCTGAAGCTTTCATCTAACAGCAGCCGGTGACATGAAGCTTGAGTGAAGTGCTTTGACATGAAGCTTGAGTGAAGTGCTCCCAAACCCTAGCCTTGTCAGTTTCTGCATTTGCTTTGGTGTTGTGAATTCTGCTGGTCTTCCCCTTCGGATGCAAAGGTGTTCGAATAATATAATGTTACAAGAATAAGCATAATAAATTAATAATCTAATAAATAATGTAGTAATCTACTAAATTATAATAAATATAAATATGTTTATTCTTATATATATTGTCAAACAGAGATGTCCAGTAAACCATAGGCAGAGAGGGAGAAGAGGACAACAAACGAGGGGCTGTGACAAACAGTTCCGTCGGAGTTTCACAGACTCATCAGTAGGCTGAAACCTCAACAGTCTGCAGAATCCCCTAACTGATTACACTGAAAGTGATAATCCACCTTAACCCCGGTTGTGGTTAAGCATCGACGACTGCCCGACAACTGATACCCTAAGGTGGGCACCAACCACTGCCCTCAAGGTACCTGTGACGAAAATCAAAGCAGACTATCACTCACCCACACTAGATGGAGAACTCAACAGACTGTCGGTTCACACCCCATCACAAGCCAGTAAAACACCCACGAAACAAAGAAAGGCCTGTCACAGCCAAAAAATACACTCCAGACACGCCGCTGGCACTTGAGGCACAGCATGGCCGCACCCCTTCCATCCCATGTCCATGACCCCCCCCAAAACACCCACGAAACAAAGAAAGGTCGGTCGCAGCCCAAAAATACACTCCAGACACGCCGCTGGCACTAGAGGCACAGCATGGGCACACCCCTTCCATCCTATGTCCTTTCTCATCCACATGCATCGCTCCCGTCTCTCTCTCTCTCTCTCTCTCTCTCTCTGTGTGTGTGTGTGTGTGTGTGTGTGTGTGTGTGTGTGTGTGTGTGTGTGTGTGTGTGTATTGTCACAAGAATATCAGAGCGCAAAATCGAAAAAAAGAAAAAGAAAGAAAACAAGGCAAAAATGAATTCGTTTTTTTATATTTCTTCCTTACAACTCCCACGCAGCCAAAAGGCACAGAGGCAAAGAAAGAGGAAGGGAGCAGCCAAATATAACAAAACAGGGGGAAACAAACGTGAACAAATCCTAGATGACAAGTCCCACATGCAAGCACCGCCCCCCCCGTCACAGGCCAAACAATGGGACAAGAGCAACCAGGATATCAAAACACCCTTGCCTGCAAACAAGCAATTCCAGATAACAACATTTCGTACTCACCAGCGACTCTGCGTCAACTCCAAGAATCCTTTGCGATTGTTATCTGTTGCAAAAACTGGTATCGTTTTAATCTTTCTACTGCTTCACTGTTCCAACCTAAAATACTGGGACGCCACCAACGGCAGAAAAACACAAAAAAGACAATCCCAGATGACGATTCCCACAGAAAAGCACCGCCCCATCGCACCAAGGCAGAACGACGGGAAACAGCAAACTAGGATGCCAAAAGGATTAAAAAGAACGGATGACAGGTCCCACATGAAATCACCGCCACAGACACCCTACCGTATATATATATATATACAAGTGGACCCCCCCACGGCTACGCCGTGGCGCACAGCAACACTCGCTGATACCCTGTGTCTCGCTCTCTCCCTCTCTCTCTCTCTCTGTCTGCTCCCTCTCTCTCTCTCTCTCTCTCTCTCTCTCTCTCTCTCTCTCTCTCT